CTGCACCATTTACATTCCACCAGCAATGCACAAGGTTCCAATTTCTCCACATCCTTGTGAATATTTTTTTTTCCATTTAAAAAAATCACAGCCATAATGAAACAGGAATTTTTAGGGGTGAAAAAGACAGGTTTAGGACATTTTAGAAATTAAGGGGACCATGGAAGAAGCACAGGGCTACAGAGCACCAGAAGGTATATTTCCATAGAAATAGGGAAAAGCTGAAAACAGCAGAAGGTCTATATTTACAAAAATAAAAGGGAAGGAAATCCCCTCATCCAGAAGGAGAAGAAGAAAGCCAAAGGGAATAGGAAAGGGAAGGGGGGGCCGGGGGGAAAAAGACCCCATGTCCCATGTGAGGTTCTACCTTTGAGCTCAGAAGTTACTATAGTAACCAGTCTAAAGAAATAGTGACCAATCAGAGGGGATATCAAGGCACAAATATCTACAGTCTCTATAAACTGTGGAAACAGGGACTGGGGTGGTGGTGGGGGGGAGGGGGGTGTTCTTTCCTCCTTCCCACGTGGGAGTGTGTACTTGTTCTTCAATAAATTTCCACCTTTGCTATACCACCTTCGTCCGTGGTTTTCATTCTTCGATTCCCACGGACTTGATCCCACAGACAAAAGAACCCAGGAACCCATCTGCCTAAGGGGAAACACCATGTGTTCCAGTCTAAAAAATAATCCTGTTTCAATAATAATACATATGAAAGTGGTATCTCATTATGATTTCCCTAATGACTAAAGTTGTTGAGCGTCTTTTCATGTGCTTGTTGGCCAATTGTATATCTCCTTTGGAGAAATGTCTATTCAATTCCATGGCCCAGTCTTTTGCTGCTGAGTTGTAAGAATTCTTTCCATATGCTGGATAAAGACTCTTTTCAGATATATGATTTCCATATATTTTTCATATTCTGTGGGTTTTAAAAAAATTCTTGATAGTGTCCTTTGATGCACAAAGACTTTAAATTTCGATGAAGTCCAACTTATCTATTTTGTTGTTGTTGCTCATGCTTTTGGTGTCATATGTAAGAATCAATTGCCAAATCTAAGGATGTAAGAATTTATCCCCAAACATAGGGGTAAATTCTTACATCCTTAGATTTTTATCTCATACATTTAGGCCTTTGATTCATTTTAAGTTACATTTTGTATATGGTGTGAGATCTGATTGTGTCCACCCCCAAGTTCATATATTGAACCCTAACCCCCAAAGGTAATGGTATTAGGAGGTGGGCAGGAGATTAGGGATTAGGGTTCTTATAAAGGGACCTTGCCCTAGCCAGTTTGGTTCAGCGGATAGAGCGTCAACCTGCAGACTGAAGGGTCCCAGGTTTGATTCTGGTCAAGGGCACATGCCCGGGTTGCTGGCTCTATCCTCAGTAGGGGGCATGTAGGGGGCAGCCAATCAATGATTCTCTGTCATCATGGATGTTTCTATCTCTCCCTCTCCCTTCCTCTCTGAAATCAATAAAGATATATTAAAAAAATAAAGGAGACCTCACAAAGGTCCCTAGATCTTGGACTTCCCAGGCTCCCAAACTGTGAGAAATAAATTTTTTTTGTTTATAAACTATCCAGTATATGATTTTGTCGGGGTCCAGCCCCAGCGGGCTAGGGGTTCCCAAAGGTGTGGACGGAGACAGCGTTCAGATGATCAGCATAGCTCTCTTTAGTCTCTGTGGATCTTCCTGTGCCTGGCTGAGGCCACAGAGAAAGATGCAGAGGCAAGCTGAGCCTTTATTTTATAGTCAGAGGTAAACAAGGTAGTGGTTACCATAGTTACACTGTTCTTGTGAGTTTCACTTGTTTTGGCCACTTCCTGCACCTCCCTCAGCCCATTAGCTTTCCAGATAAGATCTAGGGAGCGATATAAAGTCAAGCCTAATTATGCTAAGAGGACTGTGCCCTCTAAGCTGGGACTTGTTTGTGACTTTGCCAACAGGTCAGTCCAAGGCTTAACCCTATAGCTGCTCCCCACATGATTTGTTAGAGCAATCTGAATGGATTAAGACAGAAGCCAAATTCATTCTTTTGCATGTTAGATGTATGGGTTTATTTCTGAACTTTCAATTATACTCTATCTAATATTTATCTTTATGCAAATACCACCCTTTTGATTACTGTAGTTTTTTAGTAAGTTTCAAAATCAGGAAGTCTGAGTCCTCCAAATTTGTTGTTTTTCACGATTGTTTTGGCTTTCTGAAGCTCCTTGCAGTTCCATGTGAATTTTTTTGATCAATTTTCCAACCCTGCAAAAAAAGGCCATTGGAATTTTCATAGGATTGCACTGAATTTGTAGATAGCTTTAGGTATATTGACATCTTAAAATATTCTCTTCCAATCCATGAACACAAGATGTCTTTCCATTTAGTTAGGTCTTCTTCAGTTTATTTCAGCATGTTTTATAGTTTTCAATGTGTAAGTCTTTCACCTCCTTGGATAAATTTATTCCTAAGTATTTTAATCTTTTTGATGTTATTGTAAATAGAATTGTTCTGTTAATTTCCTTTTTGGATTGTTTATTGCTATTGTATAAAAACACTACTGATTTTTTTTCTTGATATTGTATCCTACAACCTTGCTGAATTCATTTATTAACTCTAACAGTTTTTTAAAAAAATTCTTTAGGATTTCCATATGTAAAATCATATTGTCTACAAAATAGGAATAGTTTTACTCCTTCCTTTCCAATTTGAATGCCTTTTATTCTTTCCTTGCCTAATTTTGCTAGCCAGACTTTCTAGTACTTTGTTGAATGGAAGTGGTGAAAGTGGGCATTCTTGTCTTGTGCCTGATCAGAGCTGGAAATGTTCAGTTTTTCACCAGAGTATGATGTTAGCTGTGGTTTTAAAATAAATATCCTTTATCATGTTTAAGAAGTTCCCTCCTGTTTCTAATTTCTGAATGTTTTATCATGAAAAGTGTGTTGAGTTTTGTCAAAAGCTTTTTCTCTGTCAACTAAGATGATGATCATTTTTCTCCCCTACTGTTGGTATTCTTAGCCACTAGGCCCAACTATCTGCCTTATATTAATGAGTTATTTAACTTTATAACTTGCTTTTTGCACTTATACCATGAAAACCTTATTTTCAGTAAAGATTAAAATTATGATTTCCAGTGGCTATTTGTTATATTCTTATATGAATGTTCTATAATTTATTTAAAATTTCTATGTTGTTTCAAATTTTCAATATTTCCTATGCCTCTATTTTTTTTAGGAACAAAGTCCCTAGAACTGGAATTATTGAGCCAAAGGCTATGACTACTTTTACATAAAAAGAAAATAAATGAGAACTCCAAGCTGATTTTAAAAAGTCAATGTGAACTTTCATCAGTACAATCTATAATAATAAAAGCATAATATGCTAATTAGACCAGATGTCCTTCTGGACGACCTTCCTGATGAAGCCGGGGCTATGAGGGAAGCCTGGGGCCTGGGTGCCAGAGGGAAGCCGGTGCCAGCAGCTGGGGGAAGGAAGGCCTACTCTTGCATGAATTTCATGCATCGGGCCTCTTATATATATATATATATATATATATATATATATATATATATATATATTTATATATACATATTTTTTACAATATATGTTTAAGAAAGTAGTTGATGTGTTTTGGGGTTGCTACTTCACAACTCCAGACCTGAGTTTGCTTTCTATTCATCTCTTAAGGTCTTAATCTTTACTGCTACTAAGCAGATTGAAGCATAGTAACCTCCATCTTGTGTAAAAAACTGCTGTTTGAAATTTTAACCCTGCTATTTTGGCTTCTGTAAACGCGTGCTTGCTTAAATAATAAGGAAAAATAAGTCTACTTCTATTCCAGAGAGGCCATAAACTATGCCCCAGACAGAGTTGTCAGTGCTGGCTCCAGGCCAGGTCTTGAAATATGGTCTCACCGCCCTGTCCCAGCACATAGGACTTCTTTCTCAGAAGGTCCAGAAGTCTCTTCCAAATTTGGAAGATAAAGAGCTGAAAAAAGTATAAATAGGGAAGACTTCCACCATGTTGGGGCCCAGAATTTGACACATTCTACTCTGAGCCCACTAGTGCTAGCGTACTAATAAAAGACTCCAAATTAATTTGGCTTATTGACTAAGGTGTCTTCTGATTTACAATATTACAAGATTACCTCTTTCCCTCCTTTTCAATATTTATTTTTCCTATTGTTTTTGATCTGTCCACTTCTCATACATACTCTAATCTTTGTTATTTGTTTATTTCATCTTCTGAATGAATAACTAAACCAAGAGTCAAATGCAGGAAATATGAAGACTTACTAGTAAAAATATTAATAAAGCACACATGGACATGATTATTATCCATATTTTATTTAGCTTGGGAAGAAAAGGAATTTGTAATCTGGTCAGTTTGGGCTTTAGTTTCTTTGGTCTTCATCAATATCCATTTGCGGGTTCCTGAGTGTATGTTTTTTAGGATTATCTGGGAATACAGGGACACTGAAAATGATTGAACTCACATAAAAATAATGCAAAACACTTAGTTTTAGAGAATATTAAAGAAAAGCATTTGTCTCGTCATTTTCACATTTTACTGTGTTTTTAAAAAACTTCTGTGTTCGAAGTAGAATCATGCATGTAGACATCAAGCATAGACCCCTGCCCCACTTACATATGCCCCTCCACACACACACACACACACACACACACACACACATTGTGGCATCATCAGATAAATTTTAACTTAAAAACTGATATCATCCTAAAAACAAGGAAATTAAAAAAGCCGAAGATCAGAATAAAGGTAAGTAAGTCACTTATTAGGGGACTTCACGGAGCAGCCCCTTGTTTGGCTTCCTCCGCGCCCAGAAGCGGCTGAAGAAAAACTACAATTCCCAGAGTGCTTAGAACGCGCGTCGGCCTGGAAACGCGCGAAGTCCCGCCCCCTCACTCCGGCAACAGGAAGAGAAGTTCTGTGAAATGCTCTTCTCCTATTGGTGGGCTCTCGGAGAGGTCAATTGCAGAGTTCTCACCGCCTTCGCTCCATTGCAGCCCGCGGGTTCTCCGCCCGTTACCAAGATGGCGGCAGAGGCAGCCGGTGGCAAGTACCGAGGCACAGTCAGCAAAAGCAAAGACCCCTCGGGGCTGCTCATCTCTGTGATCAGGTGAGGGAGGCAGGAGGCAGGAGGCAGGGTCAGGGGACAGGGCAGCGGGCAGCGGCTCCACCTCCGCTTGGCAGGGAGACGGGTGAGCTGGGTGCCACCCTGCCGACCCTCCCCTGTCCTCCCCTCCTGGCCTCCTGCAAGCCCATCCCAGGGTCCCCACGGACCCCCCAGCGTCCGGGGGCTGGGCTGGAGGGAGGAGCCTCCCTCGGTGTTTTCTCTGGGGCCAGAGCTGCCCGCGGGATGCCCAGGCCCTGCCGGCACGCTGTGGGGCGTGGTGGAGGGAGCCAGGTGTGCTCCGGGCGCCCGCCCCGCACCTGGATTGTGGGTTTCCCTCTGCCGCGCTCCCCGGAAGGGGCTCGGTTCCTGGGACTTGGGGTGTGAGGCCTGCCCCGCGCTGCAGATAATGTTGTCACACTCGGGGCACCCCAACCACCTGTGAACGGCCACAGCCTCTCTCTCGGGCGGGAGCCGGTAGTGAGCCGGTGCCAGGGCTGTGGGTCTGCAGGCACTCATTGGTTTTCGACTTTTATTCTGCCTCCTTTTCCGGTCTATTCCTTAAGAAGGAAAGAAAGAAATGAAACAAATTTCAAGTTACCCTCTGTACACATCCCCCCCCCCCCCCGAAACTATATAGTGGGAGTGGGAGTGGCAGGCCTTTTTTTTTTAAGTGAAATAAATCGAGGATGGGGGAATCCTCTCAAGTACCATTAAGAATGATAGAGGGAGTGACTGAAAACAACTAGAATAAAACGCAACACGTTTTTACGTTGTTGGCATTTGAATTTCAACTCGGGTATTTTCCATGAAATAAAACGTGACTGTCCTCAACCCCCCCCCCCCCCCCATGGCAAACTTTTGGTTCAGTTCTTAGAGGGCTCTTGGACTGTCCTGATCCTTTTAAAACCCTGGCCCAGCAGTATCTGGTATTTAGTAAGTTCTTGAATGAATGCACAGATCGAACTTTTAAAACAGCCTGCCTTTCCTGGACTTACAAAGACCCATCTCATGTGTGTTATTTAGGGACCTCTAGGTTAAGATTATGATATATGAAGCCATCGTTACTAAATATTTTAAAGGATTAAGATGATAATTCTCTGTATGGAAATACTTAATATACTTGGCAGGCCAAGCAGAGGAAGTGCGGTTGTATTGTGGACACGATTTCATGCTGTGACAATGCACAGGTAGAGCAGCTGTTCCACGGTATCAGAATATTTGTAGCTTCCCATCCGAATCCCCTTGGAAATATATAACACATGATTTATGTGGATTCTTTTTTGGACTAGTTCACTTTTTTCTGCCTTGCAGTCAACGTTCATTTAAGCAGTACATATTTCTTTCCTGTCTGTAGCATGGTGCCAGGCACTTAAACGTTCGTACTTTGGAAATATTTATTGAATGAATGAGTGAATGCCTTGAATTTTGCAAAGACTAATTTGACATGATGTAGACTATATTTGAGGGATAAAATATGTAAGTAACAACTATGACATGAGACTAGAAGAGACAGATGGGATGCAATGGGAATCCCCGGGAAGGAGTGATTATTTCCCAGTGAAAGTGGAGTGGGGAATTAGGGAAGTTAGCAGCTATATACAAATGTACCATCTCATTGGTGTACTTATGATTCTGTAGGTTTTACCCATTTCTTTTATGCTATATCACTTTTTAAAAATGCAGTTAAATTTACCCTAATGTTCTATATTTGAAAAAAGCTTAAAAAACAAACTAAAGCTTTGTTATTGATACTGATTCAAAACATACATTGCTTTTTGGTTGCCTTTGTGTTTTCCAGGGGGAAATTTCCCAATGCTGGGTGGTGTGGGGTGTGATTTTGTGGTTTATCCATCCATTTCTTATGTCCATACATATTACTTTCTCATGATCACCCTGATTTAGTCCCAGCGCATTTTTTTTTTTTTTTATTCTGGCTTCTGTTGCTTTTTTTTGTTTTCATTTTTCTTCCTTATTTTTGACCACCTCAGACCATTTGAACAACACTTTTTATTTTGTTCTATCTTTTACCAGCATGATATAAATGGAGTGTCCACACCTAGCATTCTGGGTAAGGATACTGGTTCATGTTTACACGTGACCATTTTAAGACTGATGTTGTTGATGTCAGAATGTTGATGTTTATATATCAACATCTCTTTGAGACGCAGGGCAATTTTGACATTGTAGTGAGGGTGTTGCTAACTCTCTCTGCTCTTGTTTCCTCCCTGATATGCTTTTGAACATACCCAATGGTTTAAATTTCATAAACAGTGGCAGTGAATGAGAGGAGGATGGTGATATTACTTTGGTATTCAGGTTGGGGAGAGTCAGGGGAGAGTACTTCAGGGAACAGAATAGGGAATGTAGTTGCTAAGAGAGTAAATATAAAAATTTCTCATCACAAGAAAACAGAACTGTGAGGTGATAGATGTTAACTAAACATACTGTGGTAATCATTTTGCAACATACACATAAATCCCATTTATACCTTAAATGAATACATTGTTAAATGTCATTTTTATCTCAATAAAACTGGAGAAATTGTTCTGTCACTGTAGTTGCTGCTTTGTCTATCTGTTCAGTTTGTATTCTCTGTGTTAACCCTTCTTGCAACATTGTCTTCATGATTCCTCATTCCTGGTATAAAACTTTGGTTACCTCCTCTTACCCTTAACCTCTTTTCAAACTCTCAAAGACTGTAGCTTTCCTGGTTGCTTTGGCAACAAGCCTCAAAAAGAAAAACCAATTTTAGACTCATGTTAATAAAATCTGAACTACATCTAAAGGATACTTGGAACTAGATGTGCCAATTCTCTTTTATGTTTCCTTGGCCCTATCATTTTGTCACAGTAAATTACTTGTTCGTGAAAGAGTCCTCTGTCCTCTGAAAAGTTTGCTTAGTTTAGCTTTATCTTTTTATATCACTGAGCAGTTGTTTTTCTTTTTTGAATAGTGAATGTTAAAAATTCTCCCTCAGTTCTCTTGTTCAGATATGTAAAAAAGGTCATTTCTAAACTACATTATGTATTGACAAGTTTTTATGTATTTTTAAAATGCTATTCTATTCGTTAGAAGAGCATTTATTGTTATAACTGTCTTTTAACACTGGATAAAAAAAATGTACAGATGAGTAAGGGGTTGACCTAAGGACAGAGTAGGTGTGGACATGCCATATCCAAATCTCATCTAGGGCACCAGGGTTTCTAACCAGGGTACCAGGTAGTTAAAAAATGACTCTATTTTGCTAGTGTGGGAGTCCATCAAAGTAACTTAAAGATGAGGTATAGTGTAACTGTAATGAAAGTATTACATTTGGCAGATGGGTATTTTTAAAAGTACACTGGGACTCCTAAATGAAATTCTTAACCATTTAAAAATATGTCAGGACAGTCAGGTCTTCCATAGGGTGTACTCCGGGCTTTGCAAAGAGGTCCGCAGGTGGTGAGGAGGGGCTTCGATGAGACCCAGGGCTGGGGATTGAGTCTGTCGGGCGGCTGCTCACTGCAGGTTTTGGTTTGAAGCCTTGCCCACTGGCCCCTTAAAATGGAACTAATTGGGTGGACAGAGTCCTGACTCCCTGCTGATGCACAGTTTGTACAGTTTCATGCCCATGTCCGCACACAACATTTTCCTGCTGTACTATCAATCCTCTGCCCCCACCTGTCACCTTGTGTTTGGTGTGGAGTTGGAGACGGAAGCCTTTCTAACCAGGAAATAAGCACCATGACATTTGGGAAATGCTCTTTTGTTTTTGTGAGTTCTTGTCAGATTTTTAATTGGGAAATGTTCCTACCTTTTACTGTTAGGTGATTTGCTTTCCAATTAAAGGTTGACTCTTCTTTTTATAAGTTGGTCTTTAATTGCCAATTTAATTGGGAAGACAAACTTGACTGTGACTTGAGGAAACCTTACCGAAACCTCGGAGTAGAGCTTTTGTAGGCAGATGTTACAGATGTCAAGGAGGTTACAGATGTCAAGGAGGTTACAGATGTCAAGGAGGTTACAGATGTCAAGGAGGTTTGAAGGAATTGAAGGCTCACGTTTGCATCAACTTTCAGGTCTTCACAGAAGATGGAATTTCAAAAACCGAGCAAATCCTTCATTGAGAACACCTCTTAAATTGCAGGGAGAGTATTTTGGTCAGCCCCATATTTAATCCAGAGAACACTGTTGAGGGGTCCAGGCTTTGATGAGAGCATTGACCAAGCAGCTTTGAGGTCCACACCCTGTTTGTGGTGGGAGAGGGGTGTAGACACTGCAGAGCAGAGTCCTGCAGGTGGTGCTAGGTAGTCTGTCGTCTCCAGCACCAGCTTCTCTCTTTATTTGAGCCCATTTCATAATGTTTTTTAGGGTTTCTGGCTCCCTTTGCACCCTCGGAGTCTTGTCATGAGTGACACACTTTGAAAATTACTACTAGAATACCTGAAGACTAAACACTTTTTCAACTTTCTGGGAGTCCCGGGACATCCAACAGCATATGTGAATGCAAGGGGGGAAAATTTTCCTTTTTTTTTTCTGGCTACACATGCAGAATTAATATCATGGGAATCCACGTTGTAGTTTCTAACCTTTTTGTTGTTGTTATTTTAGAGAAAGAGGGAGGGGGCGGGAGAGAGAAACATTGATGTGAGAGAGAAAAGTGAGTGGTTGCCTTCCATACATGCCCCAGTGGACTGAAGCTGAAACCTAGGTATGTGCCCTAACTGGGAATCGAACCTGACACTCCAACCAGCTGAACCACACCGGCCAGGGCATGTGTAATTTTTAACATTGGAATTTCTTGAAGGCTTTGAGGCATATGTTTTTAATGTTGGGTGATTGGTCAGGTTGTTTTTTTTAAGCAATTACTTGTAGGTAGATGTGGTCACAGTCTTTGGTGGGAAGTGTGGTATAGTTAGTAGAAACTTACTGTATTATCCATGTAAAGTAACCCTGGACCAGTTACTTAAAACCACCAGTTTTAGTTTCTTTACTTGTAAAATGGGGTAATAATGATCTGCTAT